TAAACAGTACACACGACGTCATGTTGACACGACTGTAGCCTCATGCCCCCGGACGGCCCCCAGGTAGGCGTGGGAGTCTGGGAGGCCGGGGCCTGCCGTGTGTCTGGGGTGACTCCACAGCCCCGCGTGATTGAGCCAACCACGCCGACTTCACTCACGCGTCATCCGGCTTCTGCCCAGCGAGGACCCCATTCACGCACTGAATCGGCCTCTGTTTCTTGGTGACAACAACTGTGGCTGGCACACGTGACTCTGGCCAAAGGGTCTCAACTTAGTGACTCGAGACACTAAGGGCTTCTTTGATGAAGACGGCTTTCACTGGCTCATCTTCCCCGTCAAAGAGAAGTCTCGCCTTTGTGTCCCTCGACTTGGGGACGAGTCCTTCTGTGGGCGGGTCCCTCTGGCATGGGGCATGAGCACACGCCACCTTCCCCCAACCCCGTCACGCTCGTCTGTCTGGTCCCAAACACAATTCCCATGGGGCTCATGTGGTTAGGATGCCATCAGCGAGATGACTCAGAGCGGGTTTATCACAAAAATAAAAATGTAACCCTGAAAACTACACAGAGAGAGAGCTAGTGGGTTTTTTTTTTCCCTTGAGTCAGGGTCTCACGGTGCCACCCAGGCTGGAGTGCAGTGGTGTGATCACAGCTACTGCAAACCCAACCTCCTGGGCTCAGGCAACCCTACTGCCTCAGTCTCCCAAGTAGCTGGGACTACAGGCCTGCACCACCCCGCCTGGCTAATTTATATTTGTAGACACAATGTCTCACTATGTTGCCCAGGAGCTCTCAAACTCCTGGGCCCAAGTGCTCCTCCCGCCTTGGCCTCCCAAAGCGTTGGCATGACAGGTGTGAGCCACCATGCCTGGCTACAAGAGGCTTTGGAAGAGTGAGGTAGGAGAATCAGGCTGGAAGACACCGTGTTGGCTTAAAGATGGAGGGGGCCCCCAAATCCAGAAAGCAGGAGGCCTCCAGGAGCTGCAAAAGTCAAGAAACGGATTCTCCTCTAGGCCTTCCAGAAGGAACCAGCCCTGCTGACAGCCTGACTTTGGCCCAGTGAGGCCCAGTTCGCGGTAAATTGTCACAGCTGCCATGGGAAGCCCACATGCGGAGTCTGCCCGCCCTCCCCTGGCAGCTGGTGGCTCGGGTCTGTCCTGATCCCAAGGACCTATCTGGGGGCGTGAGGCAGGGCAGGCGCAGGGGCCTGGGGCAGGTAGGGCCGGTCCGGGCTGCGCTCCTTGGGGGGCAAAGCTGGAGGGGGCGCAGGCTGGGCCGGGACAGGGTGTGGAGGCAGAGACCGCCACACGGCAAGAATGATGCCCCAGGGAGGCAGAGCAAGACCCGACAGAAAAGTGCACAGTGCCGCAGGGGCGTGGCCTCCCAGAGGGGGTGACCGAGGACCCACGGGTGTGTGAGCCAGCCAGTGTGGGTGGAGGGGGAGCTGGGGTGGCAGGTGCCTGTGACCTTCTCAAGGAGGCGACGCTTTGCTCCAGGAAATGCCTCCCAGTCTCCCCGAAGAAACATTGGGCTTCCCTTCCCTCTCCCTTAGGGGAAAACAGCTCGAGGGCGAGACGTGGCCCTTCCTGGTGGCTTTCAGGTGAACCACGACTCCCCTGCCCTTCCTTGCAAATGGTTACACAACTGGAGAAAAATAGAGAAGTAGGGATTTTTTTTTTTTTCCGGTAAAGTTGCTGCAAGAAATTCAGGCCCCCAAACCACAGCAGCCACCCGAGAGGCCACAGTGCCGAGGGGACATCAATCACATCAGTCCCAGGAGTTCTTTTGTACAGATGGGTCTCACTGTGTTGCCCAGGCCAGCCTCGAACTCCTGGGCTCAAGCAAGCCTCCCACAGCGCTGGGATCACAGGCGTGAACCACCACGCCGGCTTCAGATGGTCCGAAAACTCAGGACATCTTCACCTGGGAGCAGGAGTTCGAGTCCGTCGCAGGGGGAGCGCTCGGCCTCTGCCCTGCCCTCCACGGAAGCGTCTCAGGACCAGGCTGAAGTCAGTCCCAGGGCTGAGTAGACCATGGAGAGGACATAGAGGAGCCTTGGGGTGAGGCTCATGCCCGTTTCCATGCGCATCTGAGAAGTCTCCTCAGCTGGGCCAGCGATCAAGATTCGCCCAGTGGCCCCTTCAAGAGGCCCAAGCCCTGCCTGGCTGAAGTGTAGCTGGACTTCAGAAGTGCCAGCCTCGGCTCTGACTCCCTGCCGGTCCTTCCCCTACACTCAAACCCAGTGCTTCCCCGCTCTCCAGGACAATTTTTCTATTTTTTGAGTCGGGGTCCTACTGTCACCAAGGCTGGAGTGCAGTGGCACCATCACGGCTCACCACAGCCTCGAACCCTGGGCTCAGGGGATCCTCTTGCCTCAGCCTCCTGAGTGGCTGGGACTACAGCTGCATGCCACCACGTCCAGTTAATTTTTTTTTTTTGAGTTGGAGTCTCTCTGTCGCCCAGACTGGAGTGTAGTGGCCGCTCCCGGCCACCACAGCCTCAACCTGCTGGGCTCCGGCGATCCTTCCGC